AGCAGAAATACTTGGTGGTTACCTGCAACTATGAAGCTAGGAAACTTGGAGTTAAGAAACTTATGAATGTCAGAGATGCAAAAGAAAAGTGTCCTCAGTTGGTGTTAGTGAATGGAGAAGACTTGACCCGATACAGAGAGATGTCTTATAAAGTCACAGGTACAAACTATAGGCAATATGCTTTTAGTATTAATTAGCATATAAGATGTTTATGTGGATTTTTAATAAATGTGAAATGCCTTAAGTTCCTTTTTTCTAATCGCTCCATATTCTGAGTTAAAAATTTTATGTAGAATGACTTTTATATTATGAGTAAGGTTGACGCTAAAAATATATCATTAGAAGTCATTTAAACGCTGTCATGACTGAGGTTTATATAAATATCAGAAAAACAGGTAAAAATTTAATTGTGTTAAAATGAGAAGATATACTGTAAAGGAAATCATATAATTAAAATTTTAAGTTTAAATAAATTATGACAAAATATCCCATTCTCTAATGCACTCATGATAGTGGGGTGAGGTTTCTGTAATGTTGCATTAGCAGAGTCAAACCTAATTTCTCAAGAACTTTTAGTAAAAATAATGAATATATTAATCTTTTCTTAGCTTTTACATATGCACTGAATACTACAATGTAGCTAATCTCTTCCATGCTAATAAGGTTTGAGTTTGAATCTTAGTAAATATAGAAAAATACTGCAAAAATATGCAGCTTAAAAGTGTATAAGGATCAGCTTTTTTATTTTTTATTTTTTGGAGAGGTTTTTCGCTATAGGGCGCGTGCGCTTGCCAGACAGACAGAGAGACATAGAGATAGAAAGCAAGAAATCACCCCCCAGGGGGAATGGTCACACCACAATCCCTTCTCCTTCATTCTCCTCTCGGGATCTTGGGCACGCACGCACATGCGCCCAGCGTGAGTTTTAAGCCACCGGGTCTGGGACAAGAACCTCAGTCGACTACGTGGGAGTCCAGCGACATAGTCATTACGCTAACTGCTGGTTCCCATAAGGATCAGCTTTGTATTTATCTTTTTTTACTTAACTTTATTTATTTGTTAATTAATTAATTTATTTTATGTTGACCAGAAAGGGACAGTGTGAGAGAGTGAGAAAGCGAGAGCGAGAGAGAGGAAGTGAGAAAGCAAGCCACCAGGTCTGGGACCTGAGCCACGGTTGGCCATGTGGGAGTCCAGCGTCCCTAACCACTATACCTACTTGCTATCTTTTAAAAATTAAAATTTTTTGTTGTTGTAGCAGTTTTCAGATGAAAGGTTAGATATACAAAGAACTCTTACATATTAGCAAGTAAAAGAAATCCAATAAAAATACACAAAAGGTTTGAATAGGCTATTGATAAGAATAAATGAATGACCAAAAGATGCTCAAATTTATTAGTGGTTAAGGAAACTTAACATTATTTTATATTCTTAATGCATGTAAAAAAGTAAAAAGAATGTAAGAAAAAGCACAAAGTATTTTAATCTCCCCCCTGCCCCCCCATAGGACGCATACCCTTGCTAGAGAGAGACAGAGAGGGGAAGTTAAGAAATCACCCTCCAGGGAAGATGACCACGTCACAATCCCTTCTCCATTCTTCTCTTGGGATTTTGGGCATGCACTCACATGTGTTGGTGTGATGTTCAGGTCACCAGGTCCAGGACTGGAACTATAGTCAGCCATGTGGGAATTCAGCACCTTAACTACCATGCTTCCTACTGGCTCCAGTATTATAATCTTTTGAGAAAGACTTTCAAGAAACACTTGTAACAATATATTCTTCAACTCAGAGATGTCACTGCTGAGAATTTATCAAATAGAAACAAAATTATAAGTACAGGAGGACATAGGCACAAAAATACTTCTTGTAGCATATTCATAATTGGCAAACACTGAATGAAATGTACATCAAGAGAATGGCTAAATAAACTAGGACTTTTCTATGATGGATAATCTCTATCCTTTAAAAACAATGTATAGTAGCTGTACACTATTTGATAATGATATGTCAGTGAGTAAAAGGCAAGATGCAAAAACCTGTGTATCACATTTTACCATATGTAAAGCAATGTCCCAAATACCTCGACCCTCCCCCGTACTTACACGTATATGTCCTCACATGAACAAGAAGAGAAACATGAGAGAATATCTGTTAGGTTTTCAACACTGATCGTTTGAGAGCAAGAGAGCACTGAAATGGGAGAGAAGGAAAGGGATAGTCAAACTGAAAAGACAACACTCCCAGAATTCTACATATACATTTATGCAAAATTGTGTAGGTCTAAGTACTTAGAACTTCATATGTTAAGTTTGAGTTCCAGACTTAGCAGCTTTTTTTCTTTTTTTCTCTCTCTGCTTCTCACTGGTCAAATTAAAAATAACAAACAGAAATAAATAAATAAATACATCTTTTTTTAAAAAAAGCCTACTGCAGAATGTATTATGCCTTTTTTTTTTTTTAAGGGATTTTTGCCATAGGGCACATGTGCTCATCAGAGAGACAGAGAAAGACAGTGAGACACAAAGTAAGAAGTCACCCTCCATGGGGGATGGCCATGCTGCAGTCCTTTCTCCTCTATTCTCCTGGGATTTTGGGCATGCTTGTCCACATGCCCAGCATGAGTTTCAAGCTGCTGGGTTTGGGACTTGAATCGTGGTAGGCCACATGGGAAGTCCAACGTCTTAACTACCATGCCACCTGCTGGCCCAGAATTTCATGTTCTTAATGAAGTGATTATATAATACATTCAGTTCTGCATCTTGCCTTTCTGCTTACTAATCTTACATAAAATTTATGTAGATCTTCCTTATTATTTTTAATGCCTGCACAGTATTCCATTATACAGTTACTGTTCAATACTTAATCAGTCCTTTAGTGATATGAAGACAGTGTCCTGCTTTAGCCTATTGTCCCTATATAACTATTAATAGCATTCCTTTCCATTCAGAAAATGCCTTATTTGGACTCATACACAGTATGGTTTCTCTGCATACTGTTTGATTACTAGGCTGTTACCTTTCTGCTCTTACAAATACATTCTGCAGTAGGCATTTTTTAAAAAATGAATTATTTATTTATTTAATTCCATTTGTTATTTTTTAATTTGACCAGTGAGATATAGAGAGAGAAGAAAAGAGAAAGCAAGCCACTATGTCTGGGACTCAGACTGTGGTTGGCTATGTGGGAATCCAGAGCCTTAACCACCATGCCACCAGTCAGCCCCTGCAGTAGACATTTCAATATAGAAATTTTGATGTAGTTTTCTTTTTCTTCTTTTTTTTTAAAAGAGATTTTTTGCCTTAGGATGTGCACTCACTGGAGGAGGAAAGACAGACAGTGAGAGGGAAAGTGAGAAATCACCCCTCAGGGAGTATACCCAGGCCACAGTCCCTTCTACTTTCTCCTCCTGGGATCTTAGGCATGCATGCACACGCAACCAGTGTTATTTTCAAGTCACTAGGTCTGAGACTGGAACCTCACTTGGCCATGTTGGGAGTACAACAACATAACTGTTACACTATCTTTTGGCCCAGAAATTTTGACATAAATTTAAGGATATCCATAAGATAAGTTCCTAGATGGTAATTGTTGATTCAAACATGATTTGGATTTATAATTTTGAGTACTGCTATATGTTGCCCTTGCGGTTGAGCCAGTGTATTGCTGGTATGTATGAGAGTGTTAGATAAAAATCTTTGCTTTGTAGGGGAAAAATAATAAATTTTTTTTTTTTTGGAGAGGTTTTTGTTATAGGGTGCATGTGCTCGCCAGAAAGAGAAATAGAAAGTGAGAAATTACCCCCGAGGGGGGATGGCCACACCACAATCCCTCCTCCTCCATTCTCCTCTTGGGATCTTGGGTACGTACACACACACGCGCCTGGCATGAGTTTAAGGCACTGGGTCCAGGACTGGAACCA